ACAGAGGAAAGGAAAAAGCCATATGATCCTGTCACTAGTTGGAGAAAAAGTATTGGACTAAATTCTAGGGCTGTTCATGGTAAAAGCTATCAGAAGACTAAAAGTAGAACAGAACCTTCTCAACAGATTAAAGACATGTACTCCATACTTCCTCTCTAGATTCATTAATCATGTCTTGCACCATGAGCAAAATCTTTGCTGTTCTCTAAGTAATTATTTCTGATTTCATTTTTTCCAGATCCTCTTTTGTTCCCAGTTCAGGGAGTCCAGGTGGATAAGTATCAGATTGTTCCATCTCGTTTCCCTTTGGGGTTGCTGCTCATGATCTGGAAGTCTGTTTTTGAGGCTTGTTTATGTGTCTTCTCATTTCCCCAGGGCGGAGGGGTGCTGCTGAAGCCTGCAAGGCTCACCTCCTCTGCCCTGGGAGTGGTGGAATGGTGGCCATACCTAGCATTTTGAAGCATGTATTTCATTTAAATATCAGAGATACAATAAACTTCTACTTTATAGATTATGGAAATACTGGAGATTGAAAAGTTAGTTACAGTTTCCTTAATCCTTCCTGTATCCAAATCCTTTGCAGAGCCTCTCACTAAGAGATGACTGCTTTCCTTCTCTGTCTTTATCTAAGATGGGACCTCATAACTTCTTTAAGTCAATAAATGCAGTGCCAACCTCAAGTGCCAATTAGGAGTCTGAGTCACCTTTCATATGCTACTCCTGCTCCCAGAACACCTGCTCCTTAGTATCTGCCCAGCCTAGTAAAGGATAAGAAACACCTGAGCTGCAGATGGGGTGAAACTAAGTTATTGCTTCAGGACAAAAGAAGCAGCTGTTTCTTTTTTATATATATAATTTTTATTAGTACATGTTTGAGGTACCTAATGATTATATCCATTTTGATGAGATGAATTTCTGTAAAAGAATGTTGTGGTGCTTGGACCTTGCCACCCACAAATCCACTCCACACACCCAGCTCAGGGGTTTCCATGAGGATGACACTCATGTCCCTGGTGTGGCGGGCTGATGTCAGAGATGCGACTGCAAACTTGTTCCCAAACAATTATGGTTGGGTGATTCCAGGTGCCCAGGGACTCCCTGACGGGTCTGCTCACAGAGATGGAGTGGACTCATAGGTGGTATCTGTTAAAAGCATTTGAAGGCAGATACACAACCTGCAGTTGCTTGGAGAAGAGAATAATACAAGGGATAAGCAATGGGCATGCTGAGAAGCCTGGGAAGGAAAAGGCTTAGTGTGAAAAGAAAGGCTTCAAAAATCTCAATTATACTGGTAAATCTAGAAGGAAACACACAGGTACAAGGCTGGACACAAGTACATAAATGGCTCTGGAAGACACTAAGCTCTCTCCTCTGGCTCACTTTCAGGCAGTGTAAAAGGAGGACTGGAGACCAAGGCAGAGTTGCAGCAGCTTGGGTGCTGCAGGTGTGCCCAAGCCCTGAATTAACTTGGAAACATCTGGCCAGGTACTGCTGGAGCGGGGGAGCAGATTCAAGTCATTTAACAAAATCTCTCTCAAATCACTTGGTGACCACTAACAAACAATCCTCTTTATAAAAATAGTTCAGAAAAGTCAATGAACAATTACAACACGCCACATCTGGCAATAGAAACAAGAGACTGGGGAAGACAGAGCAACCTGATTTCTAGCATTACCAAACTAAAATACTCAAAATTCCCAGTTCTTCAACAAAAAAACTGTAAAGTATGAATAAAATGACCAATTCTCAAGGAAAAAATAAAAATTTTCCCTAAGGAAGTTCAGATATTGAATTTAGCAAACCAAGATTGTAAATTAACTGTTTGAAATGTGCTCCAAGAGCTAAGGGAAATCATGTACAAAAAACTAAATAAATAAATCAGAAGAATAATGCCTTACCAAATAGATAATGTCAATAAAAATATATCATTTTATAAAAGCAATTATGGAGCTGAAAAATATAACAAACAAATTGCTAGAGAGATTCAGTAGCAGATGTTAGCAAACAAAAGAAATAATATGCAAATTTCAAAACAAATCAACAAAACTGTTTAAAATTACTTTAATTAACACACCATAATTGTACTTATGAGGTACAGGGTGATAATTCAATAATGTATATACACATAAAATGATCAAATCATGATAATTAGTATTTCCATCTTCTGAAATATTTATTCTTTCTTTGTGTTTGGAACTTTTGAACTCTTATCTGGTGCTTCTCTATAAAATATGTTAATTCTTTAATTCCTACTATGCTATAGAAACACTAGCTAGAATTTATTCCTTTTATCTAACTGGTTTTTCAATCTAAGGGGAAAAAATGAAGATAAATGAACAGACTCCATGAGATCTGTGGAATACCAACCATAACGGGAGTCCCATACAAAGAAAAATGAAAAGGGCAGAAGGAATGTTTGAGAAAGTAATAGGTGAAAACACCCCACATTTGATGAAAAACGAACTGAGGGGGCCAGAGGCAGTGTGATGATATTTAAGTACTGAAAGAAAAAAATCAGTGAAAAATTCTTTATCTGGCAAACCTTTCTTTTATAATTTAAGGTGAAGTCATTTCCAGTCAAAAACTGAGGGAGCTAGGTAAAAGAACTGCCTGCTAAACCCTGAATTTTGTCCCACAAGTTGAAGTCCTAACTCGCAAAACTCCAGAAAGGGACTCCATTAGAAGAGGGGCTTTAAAGAGGTAATCAAGTTAAAATTAGATCTTTGGGGCAGGTCTTGATACAACAGAATGGGTATCTTTAAAAAAAGAGGAAATTAATACACAAACACACACAGAGTTAAGATGCAGATATAAAAATGCAGATGGTGATGTAAAGGCAGAGAGATGCCTCCGAAGAAACCACCTTTGAGGACACCTTCTCAAGCATAACATTTCCACAATAGCTAAAAATTAAATTCCTGTTATTTAAGCTACCTAGTCTATGATATAATGTTACAGCAGCCTTAGCAAAATATGCCAAAGGTAGTCCTCATTCCAAAATGAAACTACACTAGAAAGTAACTTTTAGAAACAATAAAATAACTAAGAACACAGTAAGTACACTGGTAAATGTAGAAGCCTGTATTATTATGTTTTTGGTTTGTAATTTTTCTTTTTCCCAAATTAATTCTTAAAACTTAAAAGTATAAATATATGTTAATGGAAATACAATGCTTAAAGATATAATTTGTGACACCAA